AGTGATAATCATAATAACATAAGTAATGTGTATGATTTGTGTTATTACTTAATTAGATATTATAAAACAAATTAATGTTGTATAGTTTGGTACAAACATTTCAATCATAAATTAATAAAATATTTTTTTTAGAGAAGAGATATTTTCATTAAATTTAACGTTCTTATGTGACAACTAATAACCGACGACTTAAATTTTAGTTTCATAGAGTATTTTGTATTATAATTCTCCTATATTTTTTTGTACTAACTAAACAACGTTCCATTTCATTTGTAGTAGATTTTGGCACACATATACGATGACGCAAATGCGTTGCCAGACTTTCATATATTTTTTAAATGGTTTTCTTTATTTTTACACTGTTTGTTGAACTTTTGAATACCATTCTTGCAGAAGTTTTTAAAATGCTTATTCATGTGTATATTTTTTTTTCTAGATGACATTCAAAATCACAATTTAACGCTTATATAAGTACTACATTTGTGCAGGTAAGATATTCAGTAATTAACTACGAATTATTATGTATATTTTGTTACTTGTTTGTTATATTTATTGCACCACAGTCCTATTGATCTTGAAATTGTGTTCATACATTATTAGATGATTTATTTTCTAAACGCTGCATTAATTTGTTACTGTGTATAACATACTGGGTTGGTAAATAAWTTTTCTTCAATATGTTCGTGCTAGTGAAAATTATATCATAACAAATATTGTCAAAATAAAAATAAATTATATTTCATTTTTGAATATTCAAAGAACTAAATATCATATAATATTATAATCGTATTAAATATTTCGAGCATCCGTATACCTACACTATTTTAAGTACAACGACACGTTTCGCTCCTTAACTGGAGTCAAAACATAATTTATTATATTTTTTTATTTAATCGTAGGGTCCCCTCGATGGTAGATCGTGGTATTGCCTACCTTTTTGTACACCTGCCTGTTCCCTATACACACGATTCATTCTTTTGTGACGTATATTCGACTCAACGGATGATTTGTAAGGAGAATATTTTTATTAGAGAAAATGTCGGTTCTCAATTGCTTTGTGTGCAATACGTGGTACGATATTTATGGATAACTAGTATTTTTAAGCTGTTCAATATAAATATCATGGCACGAAATAAACTTAACGGCCTTAGTCACAAACAGATGAATGTAATTCTATTTGTGGTTACTCATAATAATGACAATTTTTAGGCTATTATTTTGTCATTTTTTAATGTGGTTATATTATTATTGTTACTGTTTGTCGTTATCTTACTGTCTGGACAAAAAGATTGAGGGTTTAAAAAGTAGCATGTCACCATTGAACAATACCTAATTGCGCGAAATACAAAGCTCCATTTTAGGTATGTGTGAATGAAGTGAACTCTCATTGCGCTGACTTTATTGTTACGAAATGATCTTGCGCTTTAGATCAGTAAGCATTTTTGATATATTTTTTTTTGTCGTAAACTATGTTTATTTAAAAATTATACTAAAATTATAAAAACATGAAATTTGCCACCAACATTTTAAAATATATTTTATATTATGTTCCTWTAATACACATTTATTATTATTAAACATTCTATATTTCATGTTATGACCTATCGCCTATCTTTATACTATTTTTAGTAAATTTATATATAATATAGTGAAMAAATTAGAAAAAAAGAGGCAATTTAATAATTAGTATTTATATATTTGTGTTTTACATTTATGCATTTAAATTATACTGTTAAAATAATAAAGGTATTACCTGTATAGGTACATTAAATTACTTATTGAAATAAAACATGAAACAATTTTAATATGTATACATTGTATACGTATTTTTACAGAAATCATATAAAAATAAACTAAAATTGTTTTAAAAAATAATTTACTGTAACATTTTAAAGTATTTAGTATAAGTATAGGTACAACACATATTTTATTTTGTTTAAATTGAAGAATTAAAGACCTCCATGATAATGGCGACAGCAGACTCCACGGTCCAAACCAGCTGGAGAACACGTCACGATTATCCCTCCCTTCGCTGCATTATAGTATATATACCAACGTCGTGTACAATAGAACTGGTTTTCTTGCAGAAGCCGCTGTTGTTCGGATGAGACATTCAGTGACCGTTTTGTCGTATTTTTTCCTCTTAAGTCACATAGACGCTTTATCGAATGCGTAATTCAGAGTGCCASTGTTTCCCCCCACATTGTTCGGTCATATATGGGTATTTTATTTATATAAGTATACGCAAAACGTTATATTACTATAGGCAGGTGTAGGGTTTCTATTGTTTTAATTTTTGTCTATGCAGTATTATGGTTAGCAGAGTAAAATGTATTGTACCCCTTTTTGCGTGTACAAAAGATATGCAGATGTTATCGGAATATTTTGCACGAACACGTGTTACTTCAGCGCCCTGAATTGACTTTTAATAAAAAAAAAATTAAATTTTAATTGTAATAAAATACTAAATAATAATACGGGCATGTAATACTTTAACTCATTTTGATTACAATATTTATAATAAACCTTATTGTTTATATAGATTCTGGTCTCTTATATTAGTTATTTAATTCATATCTTAACAATTATTAATAYTATCCTAGATGAAGATTGTTTCTATACGCAGTAAATACAAATATATTCGGGGTGGCAAACTAGTTTGTGTTAACCAGCCCGCCCTCAGGTAATCTGAAACCACTAAC